TGACCAATTTTTCACCAAGATAGACTTGACAAAAGGTTACTGGCAAGTGCCACTAACGGAAGAAGCAAAGCCACTCACAGCTTTTGTGACGCCAGATGGTTTGTTTCAGTTTAAGGCTATGCCTTTTGGTTTGGTAAATGCTCCGGCGAGCTTTAGCCGAATCATGCGTGACTTGTTGCGTGGATTAGACAATGTTGATAATTTTATTGATGATATTCTTATCCACACAGCTACCTTCGATGAACACTTGAAAACTCTCAGGAGGGTGTTGGAGAGACTAAAGACGGCCAATCTGAAAGTAAGGCCAACGAAGTGTGTCATCTGTTGCGAGAATGTAGAATTTCTCGGACATCGAGTAGGACATGGTGAACTACGACCGGTCCCAGACAAAGTGGAGGCGATCCAGAGTGCGCCTCAACCAAGAACCAAGAAACAGCTACGCTCGTTTCTTGGCCTCATAGGATATTACCGGCGGTTTATCCCTAACTTCTCTGCACTAGCAGCTCCTTTGACAGACAGAACCAAAAACGGTGAACCTACACAGGTAAAGTGGGGTACATCTGAGGAGAATGCATTTAACGCACTCAAGCAGAAGCTGGCACAGGAACCAATTCTCCACCTTCCAGATCTGAGTCAATCTTTCATCCTAAGGACAGACGCATCAGACGTGGGACTTGGAGCAATACTCCTTCAGGATGTCGATGGGCAGAGGTTCCCAGTTGCATACGCAAGTAGAAAGCTGCTTCCGAGGGAACGGCGTTATGCAGTGATGGAGCGCGAGTGTCTTGCAGTTGTTTGGGGTATACAGAAATACGAACCATACTTGTATGGAAAGCACTTTCATCTTGAGACTGACCACCAGCCGCTTAAATGCGTTGCCAAATCAAAATGTGCAAATGGGAGTATCTTGAGATGGGCATTGGCCCTACAGCCGTACAGATTCACCATCACTGCCATTAAGAGTAGCGAGAATATTGGAGCAGATTATCTAAGCAGAATCCCAGAGTGATTTGTTAGTTTTTTTTTCATTTTGTATTTAGTTTAGATATATATTAGATAGTGTGCGGGAAATTTACTTTTAGACATTTATTGGAATTAAAATGTAATTAATGTCTTTAAGGAGGGGGAGAATGTCACAAAGTGACTGGTAATTTAAGACTAGAAGATAGTGACTGGTTTTTAGACTAGGAGATAGGCATCTGGAACACAATAGAATCCCTAGCTACAGTACCTTTTCTCAATGGGAGAGCTATGTATGTGTGCTTGTGTGCTGTGTGCATGTGTGCTGCTGTTCAGGCATAGTTTGGGCTGGGCAGAGCAACTTAAGCATTGGTCAAGACAGGACCTGTATGCTGAGTGGGTGTGTGAGGAGTTGAGATGTGCAGCATGTAGCTACTTACTTTGGTTGGCATCTACCCTTAAATTCGGGCAGCACATAGGCCAGGAGAAAACTTCTCAACAGCTCCACATCATGTCTCTGACACCACAGTCAGGCAGCTGGGTTCCACTTTGAGGTTCCAGTTTAGGTCCCATTCCGGGTCCATTCGGATTCCATTCCAGTTTCATTACGGTTCAACTCCACAAGAGATCTTCAAGGACAGATCTTCCAAAACAGATCTTCTCTAACCTCTGAGATGAGACTTTTCGTCTACTAGACGAGCTACATCATACTTCAACGCCGAATACGTCAGAAACGACAAGCTTCGGAACAGCGACTATACTCAAACAGCCAGGGTTCTTCAAGTTCGTGCGTTTGTCTACATGAGACACACCTGGAGCACAGGAAGACAATGTAAGAACGTTCCATAGGGTTGAGAACGGTCGCGGACATTTAATTCATATCAATTATTCTGTGATAAAACTCGTAGTATTTGAGTTTTTAGATATTTCTAAGAGGCACAGTTTACGTACTTGAGCTCAAGGTTTTGTACGGTTTTACACATGCAGTACTGCTTTACCAAAAAGGGGTATTGGGTTTCCTTACGGAAATTAGTGAATTACTTGTAAAATCATTTAAATAACTCAGACTGAGTGAATCATTTACATGTGAACAAGTATAGTTAATGCATATGACTGAAATATATTCATCATATTGGCATTTCAACTTTATATCAGATATATGTAATACTCATTCTGAATACAGTGAGTGAAGAAGAATAGATGAAGAAATGTGATTAATAAATCATACTCTCAAGATTTAAATATCTACATAATGCATTGAATTTGTGTAATATTCACTCTTGAAAACAATGGGAGAACCAATAAAATTCTTTATGGTTACCAACAGGTGTGGACAAAAAACAGAAAAATAACGAGTCCATTATAACAGTAATACTCATTTTTCGATTCTAAATTAATCTGAATTTCTGAAATTTTGTGGGACAAATCATATTTTAATCATCTTATTCCTGATTTGAAATTATTTTTGCATTATTTCAAATGATACAATATGAAATTCCCTGATGGCTAAATCACCACTTCACTATGAACCTTAATGGATATTGAATAGGATGTGAGTTAATCATTACCCTGTCCCCTTTTAGTTGAAATAAACATCAGTTTGATGGCAGCAAAGGAGGCATTTCTTGAGTTTATTTGATCAATGTTAATGATTGACGTAAAAAGCTCATCCATGACGCAAATCTATTTTTGGACGATACACAGTTTCATATATTATATGCAATACATGTACAGTGTGTATATTATTTGCCTGTAATTTTTTCTCTTGTGTTGCAGATTTTCCTTTAATGATTCATGCCACTTGAAATTTACTCAATGCATAATTACCTAGTTGATTCTACACCTCTGTACAGTGTATCTGCAACTTTGAAAAGCAAGAATAAAAGCAATTAAAAATATTATGCACACATGCTGTGTTTGCTTTAGCCTTTAAAAACCATGCATTTTAATTTCTAAAGAGAAAAGGAAGATGGTATTTTGAAGGCATTATATCAAATATAAAGACCTATACAAGTAGATCTTTTGAAGATATTTCTCTGCATGTAGAGGAATGAAAAGAAATATTAAGAAAAAGATGAGGAGTACACATTTTTAGCTTTAATAGTATTTGGATATATATGATATACCATATGGCATGTAGAAAAGGGGTACATTACCCTCAAAAACTTGTTTGCAAAATAGAGAGTAAAACATGATTGTCTAGATATCCTGTGCCACCACTCCATGTCTGCATGTATTATTCTTTGATCTTATTCTGAATGATATGTGCACTAGCAAATGGTGAACCACAAAATACATGATACATGTACATGTATATGCACCCACCACTTCTTCTTGCCATCTGTGTTTTACTCTACTGCTAATGGTTATGGTCCCGCTTAGTTTGTTAGTTTGGTTAAAGCTAGCATCATTTAACAATGTTAAATATGAGATGCATGGCCCTACATGTGTTATCAGTGTCTGTGATAATGAAGCCCTTAAAAATTGTGCTTCAAAATAATCATTAAGTGCTTCAAAAAAGTAAAAATCTTTGAGTGACCGGTTTTACCATTTTCCCCAATAGACTGTAGTGTTATAAAAACAGTTAGGAAAACAAATTTTTAAATTTCGATTTCCAATCATTAATATCTTGATAATTAGACAGGCAATCGGCTTGTAAAAGTCATGGGGTTCCTGACTGACCTAAGGCTTTATAATGATCATGGCAGCATGAGCTAAATCCAGGATTTTGTTTCAGAATCTGAGACAAAGTTACCCAATCCCTTTATGGTATCCATGATGGTATATCAATTTTTATCAAAGCTAGCAAGAGCTAAGAAATCTGGAGTTTGATTGGTAAATAGCTAATGCGACAAATTATTTTTGCAGACTATAAAATCAGTATCTGCTTCAGTTCCCTATCAATACCAGAATTAAAACAATTTCAATCCATAACAAAAATGCGCAGCTCGAGAGGAGGCCCGGCCATGAGTTGAACTGTTTAGAGATTCTGATGCGTATATGTTGCTCAAGGATATAATAAGCGAGTTCACGGTTGCAGTCTGAGCATGAGCAGATCAAGGTCATTGCAGAACAAATTGTGAAATACACGGAGACGAAATACTGGATACGTGCTCATGAAAGTTATGTAATCGTTATTCATTCTTGCACATTCAGTGCAATCCATGATACACAGGTGGAAGTATTCTTTCAAAGGGGAAAACAAAGGCTATGTTATATAGCACCTTCATCGCTGTAGGAATGATTATTTCACAATGTACAAAGTGGGACCTCTTCATGTTTTGAAGATCTGTGGATATTCGGGGTCATTGCAGTAATGTGCTAACCGTGAACTGGTCTATTGATGAATTTTTGATTTTCGCAATTCAAAAGCTACCTTGTGCACATGTACACCACTGAATTACAACTGACTCGCCCATACCTGCACATCATTTGTATAGGCCTTACTGTAGAGGTGTCGTGGTCGAGTGGATATGTCACCGGACTGTGGATCACAAGGTCCATGGTTCAAGTCCCGCTGCAGCACTAATGTCCTTTGGCAAGACATATACATTTGCCACTCTCCACCCAGGCGTTAAATGGGTACCCGGTAGGATGCAAAAAGTTAATATGGTTAGATAAGCAAGTGTGTGCTTGTAAAAAGGATGCCTGGCTGGAATGCTCCCCAGGGAGTGAACAATATGCATACATTGTGTGCGGGTAAGCCTGAATCCGATGACTGGGTTAATGCCCGCCCCCCCCCCCCCCCCACTCCAGGGTCGGAATGACCGCATGCGTGTTACCAAAATGTCCGGTAAAGGGGTACTTTTCACGCTCCAAAGTCCGGCTCGTACATACACAAAATTGACTTTACACACCGGACTTAGAGAGTGTTTTCAAAAGGAGGGAACACGCATATGCCCACCCTAAATAACACTGAGTGGGGGGGGCAGGGGTTAATAATATATCTGTAAAGTGCTTTGAGAGGGACTGTGGTCCTGAAATGCGCTATAATTAAAAGAACAAACTATTATTATTATTATTTCATGTTTTTTATTTAGGTTATGGTGCTGCCGGTGTACCACCAAGTGGCCAGCCACAAGGCATGCCCCCTGGAATGAGCCCAGATGTTTACTCCTGGTTTGTGGCTGTAGATCAAGACAACACTGGCAAGATAGATTCCAGGGAACTTCAGCAGGCCCTTACCAACGCCAACTGGTCTAAATTTGATGAGGCCACCTGCAAGCAAATGATCGGTAGGTGAACATGAGGAATCATTTCACTGACCTATCTAACTGGGCAAAGCATTAATATTAGGTCAAATATAACTTAGTGGAATGTAGTTGTGGAACGAAAAAGACAGACTGCACATTAGGGATAGTTGTTGGTAACATTAGGTAAATTAAAAATTGTAATTCATCCTTTTTAATTAAACCATGTGTGATAACATTATAATGCTTAATCAAGGAAGTAAATGGACATATACAGTACATGTATTTACCATGTATTTACCTACATGTATAATGATACGATTTTTCCTCCATCCACCATCCACAAAAGTTAGGTTTATCAACAATTATGCATTTTAAGTTCTGGAAGCATCTTTTCGTGCCGCTGCATTTCACCATGGACCTATAATGATTTTACTGACTTAAATAGCCAGGCAATGCATTATGTTTACCCCTTCAAAACTGTTTTTGTAATGGTCTTTTGACTGTTTGCTCTTACAATCTAGAATATTTGTCAAACAATATAATGGTCTGCCACAATAATGTCAAGCACAGGTATGTGCATATGACCTAATATGGTTGAAGTATTACATTAATTACCATAATATATGTGTGAGTAATAATAACAATAGTAGGTCGTTGAATTTTTATCAGCTACCCATTTACATCACCCTACATCTTGCCAGAGGGCGTTACTGGTGTGACAAGGACTTAAACCTAATCGTAGTCTGAAACATCTCTAAATCTTTACCAGTACTTTGTTTCATATGAAGCTTGTACATGCAGTGTCTTGTTATATTTTTGTGAATTCACAGGAATGTTTGATAGAGATAAGAGTGGTACGATAGATGCCAGCGAGTTCTCCCAACTATGGAATTACATCCAGCAATGGAAGCAGGTCTTTGAAGGGTTCGACAGGGACCGGTCTGGAGGCATTGATGCTAATGAACTCAACACAGGTAAGATGTACAAGGTCATTACACCAGATATACAAGTACACAATTGAAAAACTAAGATTATCATGGTTGCAAATCATATGTAAGAATCCCCAATACAACATGTTAGTCTGAGAGCCTCATAAGATTAGACCCTTCAAAACTACTTACACATGAATTTCGTTGAAAAAAAGGTTCCAGAGCCCTTGAAACAGACCCAAAGTCAGGTACAGTCGAGTTCACATAATTTCTGCGCTCAACCCAGATAGTCTAAGTAACTGAGTGGTAAAATATTTTGTAATATTAATCAGGTGACTATTTCAGAACATATGGTACCATGTTACATTTACATATGAGCCTAGTATTCTAAAGTTTGTAAATTGCAATTTGAAAATGTACTCAATCATTTTACATAATTTTAGGCTATTTCCATATGATCGACCTTATGGTAGGAATACAAAAATGTCATACTTGAGTTTAATGACCATGCAATTACAACTGTAAAGCTTTACGAAATGAATTGATGCACACTAAGACCGATTATTGTGTTACTTTTACGTTATTCTGGTCATGCATATATAGCTCTGAATCAAATGGGATACCACCTGTCCCCTGCCTTCAGCCAGATGGTGGTCCAGAAATATGACACTGTCCACCACAAGCAGATAGGACTCGACCACTACATCAAGCTGTGTGCTGTCCTTAACAGCTTGACCGCTTCCTTCAGACAGAGAGATACTCAGATGACTGGAAGTATTAACATCAACTATGAAGATTTTATGATGGTTGTATTGTCTTCTCAACCATGATGTGATTTTTTTTTTCTTTTCCATCATGAACTTTGTTTTTCAGGGAGAAAGCACAGATTTTGTCAATGATTTGTCTGATGACCAAAGAAAATTTACTAGTCGCTTTCAATTGGTATTCAAAATTAGAACCATATTTTGTTTATTTTGTTATGATGAGGGAGGGGAAGGGATTATTAATTAAGATTAGTAATTGAGTTATGAAAGGAACCAATGAAATGAACTTGCCAAATGAAAAATCATATTTCCGCAACAAATCTAAAAAAAGAGCTCCCTTGAAAAGAAAAAGTAGTATACAGGCTTTTAGAGTAGACTATAAGGTAAGATGTTTCAGATTGAAAGGGATTCTTAACTTTCAAAATTAAGTGTGAAATACAAAAGAATAATGATAAGTGCTTTATGTCTCTTAATTTCTTCAAAATTTGTTTGATTTGCTTTGTATAAAAGAAGGACGTGCAATGTCCCGAAATGGTGATAATTTCTGTGTTTTGCTTAGTTTAGACTTAATTTACTGCCTTCTAAAAATACTCTATTCTAAGCATTTATCATTCATTCAATAATGTCTCTTTGTAAAAAACATGCTTATAAGTAAAAGAACACATTGTTTTTATAACTTATTTGAAATTTTATGTTCTGGCATTTTATGCAAAGAACATTTTGGTTTATTTTAACTGAAATCAAGTCTAGAGGGTGCAATCATTGAGTGTTTTGTGTAGATTAGCTACCTCAATAGATAGCTTTACGGAAATATTCAAATGTTATGCATACTTTTGAAATGAAGGTTGTTCTTGATGATTTGAAAGCTTTTCCTAGGCTTGCCTGACAAAGCAACATGTAATGTATGCAGACTGGATACAAATTATTTTAGTTCATTCATTAATAACATGGCAATGGAAAAACTCATCACTAGGTTCCCAGGTAAGAAACATCCATAAATTTGAATATATTATGAAACCATTCAATTAAAACCAGAATTCTAAACCTATAATGTACATTTTTCAAAATTAAGAGCACGTGGTCAAATGTACTGTCTTTTCGATGGTAGAGTATTCATGAAGACAGCATGCATCATCATTTAGTGTACTGTAAAGTATCATAGGACGTATGGATTGTAAATAGTTATAATTTTAAGAACTTACATTCCGTAGAACCTGTTTATGTTTCATGAGATAGATATACAGTATTATGTTTGTATTGGTACATGTATGTGTGTGTAGAGCAACTATCGGTATGCAGTCCATATTCTGTCTTTTTAGAATATATTCTCTTCTCTTCAATTGTATTTGTTCACCTCCCTTACACACACATCCCAGTTCCAACACAGAGCGAGATGTCCTCAGTAATCTCGCGATCCTACCAGAAAGGATTGTCTCCGTTTTAGTGTTGAAATGTGTTATTTTCTCTGTGGATGGGGTGCTCGACACAGAAACGGTATAGGTAGTGGACTAGGGTATATGCCATGCCAAGCACATGGACTTCAAGTACTGCACAATCTTATGTAGCTTATCATTTATAGGCCTAATCTCTAATGCAGTAAACCACCCTAATGGCTACAAAATAATGAGGAAGATAATACCGAGATCAACAGAGTTATTGAATGAGCTCTGTTGTACTGGTGCCTTTAGCTTTTAACCTTCACACCTCTCTATCCAGTGCATTGTATTTTGGTGCAGGCTTTTATTTAGGAAAGGGTGCCTCCTCACAATACAGTAGTGCTTTTTTAAAATCTTAAGTGCATGGCTTAACTTTACTAGGCCCAGTCTGTCATAAAGCACCTCAATGCTTACAAAGAAAGGACAAAGATATCTGGATTAACATTGTTAATGAATGAACAGCTGTTGTAGAAGTGGCTATGTATTACAATGTTTACACCTCTATTTTCCAATGCATTGTATTTTGGCGTAGGGTTATAATCTACAGGGGTAAAGAGGTACAATGACATAGCTTTTTTTTAGCCCCCCCCCCCTCTCAACTCCTTCTTGATTAAAGCAAGTACAGTTTCGAACCCAGGACCTCCTGGTAAGACCACCGAGGTATCACACCTCCAATAGAGACAACCTTCCCATAAAGATTGCTCTTTTTCTTTCCCTCGAGTGGTCTTTGTATACAGGTTTCACTGTATATGTATACAGACTGTTAGTATGATGAAACATTAATGATGCATGTGTTGTCACAGTATTTCATCCCCACTGATCTTACAGCATTTCAAATTTCTTTAAATGGCAATCCAACCCTTGTAATAAGTTGATTTATATGAAAGCAGACAAAATAAGAGAAACAGAATATGCCAAAAGTCTGAAATGAATTTGACCAATAGTAAGGAAGTTATGAATGTTTGAAATATGAGATCACTAAAGTTTCTGCGAATCTCAAATTGGTAGTTTGGTCAGTGGATTGTGATGAAGGACGTAAATAACTCTCCCATTTGCTGTATACAAAAATTATTTTTTTCTTTCTCGTAAGTTCCTTCTGCTTTCTTATATTTAGTCAGATTTAATTGAAACTTTTGTCAATTTGCTTCTCTGATTTTTCTGCTTTCTTTTAGAGTAGTTGTCTAATTTTGATTGGATTATAAATTCTAGGTAACCATGACAGCTATATCATTTTGTATGCAGTACATTTTTTTGGATTCTTGTATATTGTTGGTAATTATGCTAAATGCAATTCAGTTTATTGGGTATTACGTCTGGCTTTTTAACAGAAGAGCTCTTTTTCTCAGTAATACATGTGTTGTATGTTGCTCAGACCTTTATGTCACAGTGTCTGGTGAAAAGAGGAGACTGCAAATTCAGAAATACTTGTTGTAATGGTGAAAATTAGCTCCTTCTTTATGCTGTATGATTGTTGATCAAAGAATTACTGGAAAACAAAAACAGGTTAAAGAACGCATGTGTAACCTGTGTAGTGAACATAGTTATTTCATCATGTTGTATTCATAGTGCAATAGAAATTGGTAGTGAAAAAAGAAAGATCTTAGCAAAATGAATATATTGAAAACTTGCCTGCCAATTGGGCCAAATGTTAATGTTTTGAGAATTATTTTTATACATTGTACATTGTATCATGTGTAATCGTTACAAGAAACCTGTTGGTTCTGATTATTAAATGAACAAAAAATATGATTCTTTTGTTGTTGTTTTTTCCCTGTAATACTTCATCTGATTTTCACTCCTTCCCCATCTCAAAATTCTTTCTCCAATATACATCTAATCATATTTTCCTTCTCCATTTATGCAAGATATGATTTGTCATCAAAACAATAATCTACATGTATGTTAAGTTACCCATCAGTTCATAAAACTACTGGTAAATTAGATTGATGTTGAAAATCTTTGGCACTGTGTCCAGATGTAAAATATGGACGACATTTTTCTGGCTACGGTACTCAGAAACATTAATAAATCATCATGCAAACAACATCACATGTACTTACTACACACTGTATAAAGGAAGCCAATAACCGTTTCATGGTATATGTAATAACTTTTAGTTTATTTAACTCTCCTCAAAAGCACTTTATTAAAAAAAAGAAACATGTATTTAATAGCACAAGTACAGAATATGATCCCATTTCAGTTTTATATGTGGTATTCTACTTTCGTTTTCCTTTTTCTACTTCAAGCATGAATAATAGAGACCACGTTTAAACAGTAACAGGCTAGAAATGGCAATGTGGTTATATTGTGGTGAACATAAAAACTGGAGGGCACAACATGTGCATACATTCTTAAAGTTACAAACAAACACTATCCGTGGACACAGAGTTATCTTGGAACCAAGCCTGGTGACCACTACAGATGCACAAGGGAGTGCATTTTCAAGCATGGTTAATAAAGGGGATTAATTTAAAACAAATGCTAAAATAATTACCAGAAGATAGTATCAGTGTTGGAGGTGGGGTTCTGTATATCAATAACGCTATTTATAAAGAGCCATGACATTAAAGATATCATTGTGAGATTGAACTTCATAATTACTATTTGTACAGTACCTGCATGAAGAATGACATGAACATAAAAACATTGTTTAAAATGATGACGACCTTGAGTTGGGTTGATATGAACTGGCGGAATTCCAGCCATCGTCTTCTAGCTATTTAAAATTAGAATACAAATATGCAACACAAAGTCCTTAAAGAATTACATATGCATGTAAACTTGTATTTTACAAAAAAAATCACTTATGTTTAAGATGCTCTCCAGTCAAATATTGTTAGTTGAAGAAAACTTGATTTCTTTTATATTTAGTATTCCATGATATGACATTGATAAAAAATAAAAAACAAAGAAATGCCCAGTTATCAAAAGTTTACGTAATCCATACACAATATGTACATGTACATGTCTGATAAAAGCATGCTTCAATGTGTTTATCTTTGCATTATTAAAGCATATCATTTACATTCTCAAGTTACAGGAATATACGACATAATGATATTACAGCGATGGGACATATTGGAGTATTCATATCGCATAAACTGGAGGGGCTTTTATGAATACGACATGAACAAAAACACTATTTTGTTCCTTTATGATGCTCTGAAATTATATGATCTCACTTTCAAACTATGTCCAGAGATAGTAATGAAATTAATGGGAGCCACATGCGTTATCTTCAGTCGTACCTGTAATGCCCAAATAACACTGTAAATTGTACATGTATGATGGATCAACAAGGGAAAACTATAGTATTTGTCTACTTTACAAAACTTCTTCTTCTTGTTCCTGCGTTTCTTCCTTCGATACTTCCGAAGATCAGTGGTAATACCACAAAATGCTGAAGTTGTGCAGGAGTTGTGTAGCGATAGAACTGAGCTTAGATATTAAGTAGGGCAGAGAGAGGCACTTTTGCTCATTACCAACACTGTAGTGTTTCACTTTCTTGATTGTCTTTTTGGAAAGTAACTTAAAATGATATATGATGTAAATCTGAAAATATATATCGGATATAAAAACATGATGCAACGTAATATCATTAAGAGAAAAATAACCATGCTGAAGTACCGACTGGCAGCGCATTGTATACAGAAGATATGTCTTTTCACAAGATGAAATTATAATATGGCTTCCAAGTACTGTACCGGTACTCAGAGAAGAAGATGACACAACTTTCATTTTCACATCAACTTGATTCTTCCACTATACATTGAATAAAAAGCTGTCATAATGTGTATTAGCAACACTTGTTCATTCAAAGTAGACAAAACTTGCGAGTTTGTTGTATTTGGCTATTTCACTATTTGGCAAGGTTTGTATATTTCAAGGATAACAGTTAAAGTTAAACCAAGGGAAAAGGATGCATACTATAATGCAAATAGGAAAGAGTCTTGACTGTTGGGAAAAGTCAAAATCCCCAGTCTATTTAAGAAACATACATACACTATTTTATTGTTTATTTTTAAACCTATGAGTTCCATGATGTACATGCATGCACATGCATATATTCTAAACTACATGTATATGACTACCAGGCCAATCACCATGAAACATCAAGCAATGTATAGATAGGTCGATTAGACCCAAAGAAGCCTATCCATACGTCTACAGACCTACATGTTTATGTTGAGCCTCGGCAGCATTTGATTGATTTGAGTCGTAAAGTTGCCTGATAAAGCTATTTTCTAGCCCCAGTATGAACGATACACAAGGCAGAAAATATATATTGCAACACTGTTGTAGTAAGTAATGAAAACAGAGACCCTATTAAATTTGTTTTCTACACATTCTGATTGTATACTTCCACCGAAGCACTGTGAAAGTCTGAACTATCGACCATTACAGAACTTCCAAATGGTGAATTTCTCTTGACAGATGTAGAAAAAGCCCCTTTGTCCTGCATCCTGACACAGTGACATTTCACATGTTGATAAACCCATCGCCCCTCCAATATCACTTGGATCATAGTGTCATATTATCACAGGAGGAATATCACAATGCTCATTTCAATAAGGTTGCATATTTATGTTTTCCATGGGATACCCTAGACTTGTTGTAGAACCACAGTGGACTAGCGCCCCCTCGTTGTTTGCTCTGCTACACAGCTTTATCGCACAATCTGTCAGTCGAATGTTTTTGAGAATAAAGCAGCAAAAGACGTTGACGATTCCTTCGCACCTGAAAAGACATTGCATGTTCTCATAGCAGCAAAGAGGCGACATCTGCTGGAACTAGGGCTGATCCAGACAGCTCTTTCATACAACCTGCCCGTCTTATATCCAAGAGATTAAAGCAGCAACGGAGGCCATGAACAAGTCTGTTCACCTATGGCACCACCATCAATGTTTCCATTGCAGCAAAGAGCTAACATTTCCAGCAACTAAGCCATTTCCAAACAGCTCTTTCATACAACCTGTCCATCTTATCTTGTGGAAAGTGAAGCAGCAAAACCTTGATGAAGGTTTTGTCACATATGACATCACAAAGTTTGTTTCCACTGCAGCTAAGAGTCAATATCTACAGCAACTAGGCCACATTTCCTAGGGCACATAGATAGTTAATGTTCAGTTCGTCTCGGTACAGCGTTAATGAAAGACGCTTGGACTCCCTGGAAAATGAGAAAAGGAGATGCTTGATAACAAGTTCAATAATAAGAACAAACAAGTCTAGATCAGCACCCTGGCTACCTTCATGTAAATCAATATTCTTTATGCTGTCTTCATTGGAAAGTAACCCTCCCCCCCCCCCCCCCACCTCTTTAACAAAAATGACCATGTTCCCTTCATGATGAAACTCTTGACTTGGAGTATGATTCACTGTGCAATCTCAACAATTAAATCATTATCTGCAGGACAATAGCAGACCATTGAATAGTGTTGATCTGTATCAACTTTTAGGCCAATAAAAAAAAAAAATGTGTTTCTCGTCAGGACATTTTTTTTAAAGGAGCAGGCAGGGCATTACTGTTTTGCAATTTTTAGCTATTTTTCCAAGATGGTTGCCATGCTAATTATAGCTGGCCAAGCCTATTTATTCACAGATATTGTGCTATGTGAGTATGCTGATAAATTGTATGACAAAACAAATGATTTGTATCACTTTAGAAGCTATTTAAACAAAATGTATAGCACAGTAAATAGTATAACGAAAGGAGGCGGGCGGGGACGAGAAACACTTAATTTTTGTTATTTGGCCTTATCACAATGATTATATTCAAACACGGTTGCCATCTCTAGAGTGAGTGACTACAAACATGTCTTGACACTGCTGACATGAACGATACTGAATATAAACACATGATATACTCATGCAGGACAATCTATATGTATTGTAGTTTCACACAGCCGAGTCGTAAATTGTGAGGTGCATCTAGGTATCAAAAGATTCTCAAAAAGCAAAGTACAGTTCTCATGACTTCTTGTAAGTTATATGTGCTCTAAATTTTGGTCAAGAGGTCAATATACTGACATCTTTATAGTATGCTTGTCACAGGTGATATACATGTATGCATGATAAAGTAAGAACTCTGCCTAGACTTGAGTGCATAAAAATGGACAATGACCTGGGGGTGTTTCACAAGGAACCTAAATCGAACTTTAAAAATTATGGAAGGCCATTTGTAGCCTTAAAAATATTATTTTTAAAGCGAAAATTCAAGAATTTTAGACTTTTTATTAATTCCACATCAAGAGCATAAAATCTCCTTGATAATAGAAAATATGAAAGATTTGAATCAACATTTTATGTCTTTTAAAATAACTTGTAAAAAAACATTTGAATAGATGCTAATAGCTTTCCATAATTGTTAAGTTCAACTTAGGATCTTTGTGAAACACTTCCCTATTAATTGTCGATTTGGATGACATCCCCCTGTCTTATAATTTAATAATGGCTAACATCAATCATTACAGGAGGATATCTCACTTACTTTGAAATAAGCTGTGCTAGCCTACTCTGACCCAAAGCAATGCTGCAGAATCTAGTTGTTGCTGTTTCACTAGCAGCCTTATAATCCATACCATGCAGCTTGCAGGGAATCGCCTATGGACAGAAGAGAAGGATTAGTTTATACTCGAACTGTCTGAGCTAGTGGTCACCTGCCTTTAACATTTTCTTTGAGCAACATTACTCATGTTTAATAGCATGTATTCAATGAAGGTTAGTACAGACACTTTTAGTGCTTTAAAGGCATTGTTTAATAACATTAAATCTGAGACGGCCCCACATGTTATCAGTGTCTGTGATATGGTGAAATATTGAAGCCCTAAACAAATTATGATTCAAAATGATCATGAAGTTCCTCAAAAAAGTAAAAATCTTTGAGTGACCGGTTTTACCATACTCATTTCCCCAATAGACTGCAGTGTTATAAAAAACGTTAGGAAAACAAAAAACTAAATTGTGATTTCCAATCATAAATATCTTGATATTCAGACAGGCGATCGGCTTGTAAAAGTCATGGGATTCCTGACTGAGTGACCTAAATGTTATAATTATGATTGCAGCATGAGCTAAATCCAGGATTTCTCTTAAAACCTGAAGCAATGTTACTGAGTCACTTTAAAACAATTTTTTGTTTTTGGGTGTACCTTTCTCAGAACTCAAATCTTCCTAAGATCTACATCAAAAATATTCTGCTACGAAACACACAATTTCCAGCTGGTTATCCACTCATATCATCTTCCATATTTCAGTGAATTAATGATTACTATGTAGCCTGCCAACAGACCGACTGATTGATGACTATACCTGGAAAGCTAGTTCATAGAAGGCAGGGCCTAGAACTCTCAGATCTTCAAGTGGAACTGATTCTATATCACCATGGTCCACCAGAAAACAGCCAGCCTGAACAAAAGAAAATAGTTTAATAAGGATATTAATAACCATCATGTGACTATTCTCGCCACATTTTCATGTACTGTGACGGGAATTCTGTAAAGGGAAGGGGAGATGAGTAGAAATTTGATTCTCTTCCACTTTTATATCACTGAAGACTGCATAGTCACAACAAATATTTTCTCCCCAATATTCTCTTTCAAGGTATTTCTTTAAAGACATCCTTTTCTACTAAAATTTCAAAAATCAAACTATCCACTACAAGGCCAGATGAAGAAAGACATATAGACATGAAAATGGATAAGTACTTTACAAAATACTTTAGCAGCCAAGTAAGATAACCACCACCACTTAAAATGACTCTGTACCACATTCATTGACAAAGTTATAAAAAGTAAAACAGTGTAAAGATGTATGCAGGAAGCAGCCCTGATTTTTGCGATACTTCAAGGATAACTGCATTGCCCCAAGCACTTTATGAATGCAACTAAAATGACTCATAACATTTTTTCCCCTAGGGATATTATTTCACTTATAATCCAGTACCATAAAACAACAAATTATCAACATCATCATCATAAAAATTGACCTTTCTGCTTTTAAACAAACTAAAACATCTCTTAATGCATGGTGAAATAAAATCTTATGCCCAAATTGGAGTTGCTAAAAAAAATGATGCACAAAAAGGCCTTACCTCCTGCTCGTCAACAGCAATGACCTTCACCCTAAGCCATTCGTCGTTCACCTGAGCGGCATAAAGACTGCCCACAACAGGCAGATCCCCCAATCTTAGAGTGGGAAGGTCTGTTTCATAGAACTCCATCATGTTATCTTCCATGGTGCATAGCTCATTCTGAATAGAGAATGGAAAGAAATTAATTACACACTTGAAAGCTATACAAACTATGGTATTTTGGCTTATCTAGTCAAAGGCACGACAAGCTCTTTCCGTTTCTCTGTATGACCAATTGTTGAGGTAGAGATTCCATTTTTTCTGCAAAATGAGCCTTAATATGAAAACCCGAGGCCAATACTCCAATGTCCTCCTTCCTTTTAATCCCTGTCTTCCCCTCCCGTCTTTCAAGATTCATTTATCTTTCTCTACCTTCTCTTCTTTGTTTTCTCTTTTTTGCTTTCTTTATTTTGCTTTCCCTTTTTCTCCCTTCTCGCTTTTCTTTATGTACATGCACTATCTGCAGTTCCACGCTTTGATTTTATATCAAAACCAGTATCAGTGGGAAATTTTGTACTTTTGATAGACCTGTATGAAACAAAGTAAATATTGTACCAATTAACATTTCTTCGAGTTAGTAAATACCCACGGTGCCCAAATGTTTAAGTGAATAACAAGGAATAAGAGTATGTCCACCAACTATGAATTAATCTCTTTTTAAACTAGAAATATCGCAATCTGTATTGCCGCGCAATGCGAATGTATCCCCCGGCAGTGGCAGCGATTTTGTGTTATCCTTATGTGGAAGGAGGGACAAAGATTCCCTCTCCTCTTTGTGAAACAAAAGGATGACGTAGAGATTGCCGCAAGTGGCTCAGACTATTGTCAAGACTAGGAGCAGCATCACCAAAACAATAGGTGTGTAGATCAGATTATGATGCATATTTATAGAAAATTTGAAAGAAATGTGATTTGCATAGCGACACAAGATATTCCTTTAAATATGACCTTTGACCCTATAAGAGATGGAATACTGGGGGGTAGCAGCACCAAATTTGTGGAGGTCTAGAGTAAACTATAATGAACCTTAATACAAGCAGCATCACTAAAATCTATAGGCTTGTAGATTATACCAAGATACACCTTTGTTCAAAATTTGAACAAAATCCCTTTAGAAATGTGGCCTATAGAGCGCACACAAACAAAAATATGGCCTTGTACCCTATAGAAGGCGGAACACTGGGGGCAGCATCACCAAAAGTTATAGGTATGTAGATTATACCAGGATACACCTCCATACAAAATTTGAAAGAAATCCGTCAAGAAATGTGGCAGTTAGAGCGCACACTAGAGTGCACACAAGACATCTATCAAAATATGACCTTTGACCCTATAAAAGACGGAACATTGGAGGCAGCATCACTAAAATCTATAGGCTTGTAGATTATACCAAGATACACCTTCGTTCAAAATTTGAACAAAATCCCTTTAAAAATGTGGCCTATAGAGCGCACACAAACCATCCACAGAAATATGGCCTTGTACCCTATAGAAGACGGAACACTGGGGGCAGCATCACCAAAAGTTATAGGTATGTAGATTATACCAGGATACACCTCCATACAAAATTTGAAAGAAATCCATCTAGAAATGTGGCAGTGAGAGCGCACACAAGAATATGACGCGGCGGCGGCGGCGGCGGCGTAACGCTGCTGAATCCAAAGTACCCCACCGGCATACTGCTGGGGGATACAATAAATGCAGCACGCTTTATAAGGTCACTGTATTTTCGTTTGAGATTATACAATTAACACATACCGTACATGTATGAGTAAACATAACAACGGGTTAGAATAAAAATTAATCCTGATATGAAACTTCTGCAAGATAGGTAATTTGTTGCAATCTGAAACACAACCTGAGCCTTCAATAATGCAATTTGTAAAGACATCATGCGGGTATGTTACTTACAGCGTAGTCATCGCCCATGATAATACAGTAGAAGTCCATTACGCTTATGATGTACGACACATACACCTCCCATAGACCATCGTCTTCAGGGATGACTATATCAGGCACCGACGGAGGTCTGCTTCAGAAACAAGAAGAACAAATGATGATCAAACTACTGCGAGTGCATTACTTGTTGAAATATTCAGGCTCCTGAATTTTAAAACTTGTTATTTTATATATATATATATATATTCTTTTATTTATTCATAGCAACCAAAGGGTTGGATTGATGATACATACATTTCAACATGATTATGAACATTATTAAATTGAGTACAATGAAATTGATAAATTATGAATATAAATACATGTACACTGTAGATCATTAATACAAACATTACAAATCATTCAGGTATATCATATTACAAATAAATAATTACAAGAAAAAGGGAAATAACATAAACTTAAATAGAAAAGAAAAGGGAGCAAGAGAGGGGAAAAGAAAAGAAAGTAAAGAATTGAAAAAGCTGCAATGATCAATCAAGTAAACTCTACATCCAAATATCAAAATAGATAATATAATTATCAATAACGAGAAAACTATTATTTTTGCAAGCTACAGTAATCCTGAAATTTGACTGGCTACGAGCAGATTTGTCATAGATCTTTGCCAGTTGTTATTAATAACAAGTTTGAGGAAATGGGGCCTTGATCTTTATTCTTTCTAATGTAATTATTACAAAATAATTAAGTTTTGCATTCATGTCTTACTATTATTGTGCTATCAATTGTACATGTACAATGTAACATAGGGTTTTTCACTAACACCTTCTCATGCCACAACTAACTCTCTACAATATCAAATGTTGACAAAGTTGGGACACATGTTATTTGTCCAAAGACATTGAAAACAATTCTTAGATATAGCATTCATAGCACTGACAGGCTTATCTACTCACAGGGTAACACATCTCTAGAAGGCACAGAAAACAAATGTCTGGGAGCTACATCTAAAGGAGGTTAGAAGCAATGGTGCCAAAATATTCACTTTTCAATTTCAAAACACTTTTGAAAGTCGTGAAAAATCATATAATCCATGTTCAGGACAATAAACAAAAGTTTGTGAGCTACAAGTAGGGCAGGTTAGGAGCGATGGTGCCAAAATATTAACTATAAAATTGAAAAACACTTTTAAAAGTCGTGAAAATCATATAATCACATGTTCATTTTTCTTCCTTCTTTTTTATGAAAGATAAATTAAACAAAATCTGATGTAATCAAGGGAAAATTATGCCTGTGTCTCAACTATTATAACTATACTCTTACCTGGTTAGTTGCAATGGCTGGTTTGTGACGTTCCGCCTTTCTTTGCCGGTGAGTGGTGATTGTGAGATCTCTACCTTCAGGCTAGGGTAGAGGATCTGATCATTCCCGACAACACTGATCAAGAGGGAAATACAGGAATGAATTTTAAAAGCATAACTACATTAAAAGGGTGAGGCATTAACAGAAAAGAAAGAGAGAGAGAAAGACGTGGAGAAAGGAAAAAGTGGAGGGGGGGGGGTAGTAAGATAGGATGATAGTGAACCAGAGTGAGAGTGAGAGACAGAAACAGGAATACAAGATGGACAACGACAGTATGATAATTTGAACAGAAAATGTATAATTACACCAAAAAAAAAGAACTGAAGCAAAATATAAACCAGTATATATATACTCTATATATATATCTAAAAAAGAAAGAAAGAAAAGGATTCAGCCACAAGGAGTGAGGAAGAGAGAATGAGCAAGGCAGAGAGGAAGCTAAAGAATAAGCTTACTAAAGAATGATGAAAATGAAATACCTGTATACAACTATTGAGGTAAAAACAAAAAAAGTAAAGAAGGGGTTTACGTGTAAGAGAGATAGGTATTTTAAAAAGATACCGGTAGTTGTATGGCATACACATACATGAAGTGAAAGAAAAGATTGAAATTATAAAATAAAGAACAAGGTAGGTTGCTGACACTCTGTTCAAGCTGCTACAAATCTTATACTTTGAAATTAGTTTTTCTTCTTAAAAACAATCCACACAAAAAAGCTTTGCAATATACATGAATATCACATTCTTTTGGATAGTCACAAGTGACTGAAAGCAATTACATGTAGCATTTTAAAGGGAAAATTAAGCTCACTGGCATTTATAGAAAGAAAGGAGAAAAGTCAGAGACAGATTGGGAAGAGTTTGAAAAAGTTCATTTGATTATTTTTTTTAATTTGTGCACTTTTAAAATAAAAGTTAAGACCACTATGTTGGGAATTTAAACATGACAAATACTAGTAGACAGTGTCATTTTGCTCAAAATGACCAATACATTTTTTTTTCTTTATGTGACATTGCAGAGCAGCACCTTCGTTATTTTAAGACAAAAATATGACAGCATGCCTGACCCAGCATGTTTTGAGATAAGCCTGGGGAAAATGCGATAGGAGAAAATGATATTCTACAGTACATTAAATGTAACATTTGTCCACACTTTTCCACAAATACATGTACATCACAGACTAATAACCAACAAATATTCACTTATTTCAATTGATTTTAGCTTTTGACAATTCATAGCTTTCTTCAAATTTATCTTATTTATTTCACAACTTTCACCATGTTGTTTCTCAGATCTTGTTTTCATAAACATATTATTATTAATATTATTCTAAACTTCACTGCAACCCTCAGTCAAGTTTGGAATGACTATAAATAAATCCATTCATAACTACATTCATAGTACACAGAGTAGAATGTAAGCATGCAATATTGTTAATGCAAAGAAACACATCAAAGCAACAAACTATAAAATGCATGCATGGAGACTAGTTAAAAACATCTCCACACAATTATATGTAATGAAGCCTTTCCCCACTGTCTCAAATGTCTCGACACCTCTTTCAATGTGGTGCATAACTCATACTCCTGAAGCATTGTATGCTCTTTCTAATCAGAGCTGCCAACAATCGAGAACAGAAAATCAGTAATTACAAGGCTCAAAATCAGTAATTTCCTATGTGGCGCTATGAATCTATAAAAATTGGCACGCCAAAACTGCGCGGACACATGCGCGCATCATTATCTGAATTTTTGGTGATTTTACTCACATAAAGTTGCTAAGTTTTGATTTTCAGGTCATCACAACACATCAGTTTTCCATGAAAAAAATATGGCTTCTTACTATTAAGAGAATACTTGATACTTTTCCTTCTTTCTCAGCGAGTGTTGGATGGCCACCATACTGCACAGCACTCGCTTCGATAAATCATATTTACGCCACTAAACAACGTTCCTTACCGCCATAATGATCGTTAATTTCCAGACCAATTACGGGAAATCCGTACTAGTTGGCAGCTCTGTTTCTCCATCAATTATCTTTTCTCATCCCCCCCCCCCACCTCCCTCTCTCCCTCGTATCTTGGTTATCCAAGAGCATGTGCCACGAGATAATAATGATATTCTGGATTTTACCACTTGGATGTCTCTATTAAAGCTCTTTACAAATAGACAGAACAGTATTTCCATAACTAGTCCCATGATGGAGCAGCATTATGCAAATCAAGTGCTGTTCACTATTAAAATACACCACAAAATGAGAGAGAGAGATCAAATAGAACAGTGGGGAAAAGCTCTTAAGCATGCACAAGGCAAGCACCTAGCAGAGACCCGGTGGCTCTCGTCGGTGTCTGAGGGGGCTTTACATGTAGTATCCTTTAACCTCAAGTTGGGGTAAAGAATGGGATCACTCTGACACCTGTGAAGTGAGAGGAAGGTAAATGTAGGTAGAGATAACATGTATGGAGATGTCAATTAAAAAAGAAAAATTGAGTTCCGGTAATGAAAAAAAATGTTGAGGGCTATATTCCATAGCAGGAAGTAATTACACAGAAAGTCCAGATATTGCACGGATGATTTTGAGGAATTTCATGTTAGTTTGGATCTTGAAATGTTTGTTTGAAAACGTTTGCCGAACCTCACAACTTTGTGCATAAAGTATTTAGAGACAAGTCCCCTACACATCGGTATATAAGCTGTGATGTGAACCGTATAACCTCAAACCGAGGTCAGCATAATTTCGGACCAAAAGTTTGATGTCCTTTACATACTATGCAAAATTCAGATTTCTCAAGGTCTACATGTACCAGAAACAATACATGCTTTAAAGGTACTATGTCCCTTTTGCAGCCAACCTCAAATTCTGTAGAACTTTGCAGGAATTATGAATATGTCATCGATGTCCTATCTGTGAAATTTAAACGTTAGCAGTGTCCTCATATTCAAATTATGCAAGGAAACCCGTTTACTTGCTAGACTTCACTGTCAGACACTATTGAGTGACTAACTGGCTTTTTTTCTTCTTTGGTAATAACATACATGAAAAGAGTTGTAAAGGGTACATGAGCATTTGTCTACATCAATAACCCACTTCTTGTGATGGCCAAGATTAAACTGATTGAATCTTTGCGCAGCATAAAATGTATGACCATTCGGTACAATTGTCTGAAAATCAAGCCTATTACTTTTGGGCTCTATAGCCCTAAAATCGATTTGACATCTAATAGTCGTTATTTTCCCACTTGAAGACATTTTCAAGTCCCACCTTTTTTAGGGAAGTTCTAAATTAGTATTATCTTTCAAATGCATTTAGAATTTAACTTTTTTATTTTTTTGGCCTGCAAATGGGACATAGTACCTTTAAATTTGAAATTCCGTCACTTGAAGAAAAGTAAGAATGAATGGCAACCACAAATTTTCCATTACCAGAACTCAACCTTTACTTTAAACTTTAAAGAACCAAACCATACTTGCCACCCCAAATGCTGATTCATGATGTTATGGAAGTAAACACACACAAAGAGAGAGAATTCTTTTAGTTAAATAAATGGTCAGTGCCCACACAGTTAACACAGTTACAGACAAATTACAGAGAAGAATCAAATGATTTATGTCATGTTATGTATGGAAACTCAAAACTCAAAAGTTCAATGTTCCTTTCAAAATATACTAGAAGTTGGTGATTTAGTTGAAAGGCCTTCCTTTAATACAAGTGAAAAGTTTGTTCATATTTAGGAATATTAGTACTACTTCAATATTAGAATGTAAATACACAAACGAGGAGAGAGGTAGAAAAGGAGGAGGAGGGGGATTAACTAGTTAAGTTTACACACATAATGAACCCACCTGCCAGATCTGGTTTGTATTCACATACAGGGTACATGGGGTTGTATGGTCATTTGATGAAGATGAAAATGAATTGTATTAGTCACATTGAAACAACATCTGAATATAATTCAAGGACTCCATTCGTGATATAATGACTGTCTATCCATTTTGTTCTTCTTCTTTAAACTGAATGATGTTGTGGAAAACAATACAACTTGAGGCTCATTCAGATATGCAACAGTATCCCGGGGCAGGTTGTTTGTTTGTCTAACCTGTTAAGGAAGTGCAACTGCCCGCAAGGTCTTTCGCTTAGCTCTTTGTTATAAAATACAGAAATGTGGGGCGTACTAAACTTTCATTAAGTAAAAAAAAAAAGGGGGGGGGGGGTCTACATGTATTGCTTTATATGTGAACAAGGCTGAGAGATAACTTAGGGAAGGACATTAAAGAGGAATCAAACTTAATCCACAAATTAGGATCTGAAATTTAACCCTTTTTACAATAACCTTTGAACCCAGGCCCCATAGTCTTACAGGAATGACTAATCTCCATGTACCATATTTATACCCACAGATCATGAAAAACCTTTGACTTTCCCCTGTAACTGTCAAGGGTGCGGCTCAAATCCTTACACTTTTGAAGCATATGGCAATAGTACATTTTGAAAGCAGTCTGGACCAAACAGTTTCATTCAATCTTTTCTGCAGTCATGAATATCAAGTAAGGTCAAAGTTTAAACAATGAACATCAAACATCAGGGAAAATGAAAGGAAACTAGTATGAACTGATGCAAGTTAATCAAACATTCATGAATTATAATATCATAGCCCTCTCCTTGGCACAAACAGTCTTACCCAATCTCCTCCGCTGTCCATAGGCTAAGTCTTGAGAGTTTGTGGATCAGATCATCTTCCATGTTGGACTGGAACTTCTCCTTGTAGAGCTTCTTCAGGCCACTCAGCCACAGGCCGCCAGTCTTTTCAGCCAACGTCTTTAATATTCAAACAATAAAGACTAGCGTTTGGACACAAATAATGATAAAAACAAGATGCAATAAAGATATAGATTACTTGTGAAATGTTTAATAATGTAAATTAGATCGAGAAACAAAATTTCCCCCTTGACCTTGTGGTGGTAATACCAAAATGCCAGCTTGAGGGTTTTCAAAACATCAGAGAAAATGAGGATTGCTAGAAATACTGTAGGAAATAATCCAAACTATTCCACATTCATGTCCCAGTTCGCAAATTAACTTTCGAGAAGCAATTTGTTTGATGATCAGCCATTAAAAAAACTTTCAAGAAAGATAAGAGAACTGACCTCATTGACCCAAGAGACGATCTTATCATCAACTGGTGGTGGTTGGGGTGGTTGTTGAGGGGGCTGCTCAGGCAGATCTTCTGTGACATCTTCTGAGTACTGATTATTATTCCTCTCCTCTGTCAAAGCTGATGGTTGAAAGAAATGTTTTGTCAGGATTTATTCTTCAGTTCATTACTTAATACAGAAAACAAGCTTCCATCTGGAATATGAATTTAACAGGATTTATAGCATTAGAAATTGATAGCATTACTGATTGTTGTTCGGTTAGCAGGGTACCCATGTCATTTTTACATATTCATGTAAGTCTCAACCTGTTGACTACCAAATTCAGCTGAAATGCAAAAAACCAGCCGTACTCACAGGCACTGTGTTTATCTTCATTTGGGAAAACACCATACACTGTGTTTATCTTCATTTGGGAAAACATCATACATTCCTGAACAAATCTAAACGATTTTTTTCAAAGGACATCAAAGCCTTTTTATTGAAGTAGATTCCCCAATAAGATAACATTAAACATTCTGTGCTGAAAGAGTGGGGCTAGCATTCACATAAAATGGCTTTTCATAACGTTCTTTGTCTATGAAGTAATAAACGGTTTTCAAATAACACTTTCAGACCAAGGGAAATTTAATGTGGAGTGGAGATTCAGTACATGGCTAACTGAAAAAAGTTTATCATTCCTTCCTTCATGGTAAGGTTTTTGAGGTTTGACAACAGAAAATGGAAGAAGATATTGCACTCAATCTGCTCGTTCAGGAAGACATGCTTATTTTCTTACGGTAGTCACTGTCTGACTTGGACCTAACATCATACGAGGATGGCTGGCTTCTCACGTCATAAGAAGATGGCTCCTGGTAAACATCACTGGCACTCCCAACACTGTTAACCTGCCGCCGGAATCTTGGTGGCAACTCGTAAGAGCTCGAGTGTTGGACTGCCTTTGGCTAAAACAATTTAGCGAGGTGAAAATAAGAGAGAATTAGCAACACGCCAAATATGAACAAGACCCAGAGGAAAAGGGCTTACACACACAAAACAAGCTTGTCTGAAAAATTACAATAAAGGAATAGTTTAAGCGATTCCTACAATTCATGGGTTTTTGGGCAAGGCAGAGATTATGCTGCTCCAAAAACTCTAATCTTAATACTGAAAGAACCTTTTACAAGCTTAAAATTAAACAAATTGTACCACACTCATCAATATGCTGCCGATTTTGAGCGGCACAATTAAGAAGTACTAAGTATGCTATAATACAAAGCAAATATTGGCATTAATGGTCAGTTTTCATTCAAGATTGCCGAGATTCACTCATTCAATTAAACGAAGCTTGCATTAAGTACCTGTACAATGAACTCTCCATTCAACACAGCACTGCAAGAAGCACACATGGTATTACCTGATGTTTTGGAGGGTTTGGAACTGGATTGTTCCTGAAGTTCTGAGGCTTCCTGCTCCAGCTTTCACCACCACCACCACTTGGATAAGTCCTCTGGTGTGGGCCACCGCGAGGTCCATCGAACCTTGAATTAGGAACATCATTCCTTTGATGGGGAGCATCATTCCTTTGATGGGGAACATCATTCCTTTGATGGGGAACATCATTCCTTTGATGGGGAGCATCATTCCTTTGATGAGGAACATCATTCCTTTGATGGGGAACATCATTCCTTTGATGGGGAACATCATTCCTTTGATGATAAGGACCATTACGGGGACCACTGTTTCTTTGATGGGGACCACTGTTTCGTTGATTAGGTCCATTGAAAGGTTCTGGTCCACCTCTTCCTTGCGGATAGCTGGGGAACTTCTTTGGTGGGTACTGATGCTGTTGAGAGTGATAACTGGGCTTGGGCCAAGAATTGCGGGGTGGAGGCCTGCGATTCCCGGTTCCAGAGCGTCCAGAATATCTCGGCAGTCGTGCAGGTTTGCTCTGTGAATTTTACACAAACACAATACACATACATTAAATGTAATTGGAAAATGATAAGCCCTCTGATTGAAAATCCCATTGCTCATTTAATATGAAGTGTACAATGTATTCACCTCTGAATAATGACCAGGCAAATTACATTACACCTACTGACATGAAGAACAACTCTCATATCAATACAGTTAAAGTGAATTTTTCATCACTGGTCTGTTCAAATTAAACCATGCCAATAACCAGAGTTTTTGTGTTGCTTTCAAGCTTTTCAGCAGGTAATTGTTCACCCTTTAATACATGTGAAAAACCGTCTTGCAGCATCCAAGGTGGTAGACAGATTGAAGCAATATACCAAGTTAAAGGTTAAATTGCACTTTCAGATGAATTTGGGTTACTTTGTGCATGGGACATACATGTACATGTAGCTTCCATTTCTTAGAAATACTATTACATCCTAGTAATGCAAACCTCCTTCTTTGTCTTGTTTATGTTTTTACTATAAATATCTCAGGAGCTGTAACTTGCAGACCATTTAAAAAAACTTTTTTAAATTTACTTTTATTTTTTAATAATTGCATTTGTAATTTTTTTCATTCATATTCATTATTATTATATTTTTTTTTAATGAACAGTAATATTGCATTTTGTGACTTTGTCTTGGTTGGAAAGGTCAGCAAACTATCATCAAAACACCTTCCTAAGGAAAATCAACCATGATTGATATAGGTAACTACAGATGACCTGATAGTCCTTAAGGGCAGAAACAAAGTATAATAAATGAGTAATAGATAAGACAATGACAATGTGTATGAGATTGGTCGAAGTGGCCTTGAGCTGATGGCCCGAGTATAGCATCACAACAAAATGCCCCCTGATGAGTCACAGGTTCGTATTATGCAGAATTTGTTGTAGGTTAAATACTTTTATACACATGCATGATGCAAAGTGCAATGACACACTTTATATTGTGTGTTACAAAAAGGGCTGTAATTTATTTGAAATTTCATATTAATTGAAAGTCATCAAGTAATAATTTAAACAGATCTGTTACAAAAAGACACTTTTCTACCAAGCCAAGAACTATCCGAAATCTTGGAGAACTGAATGGAAAAAAAACTCACCAAATCAGTGAGAATTCGCTTGACCCAGTACACATTAATTACCTTTTTCTTGGTTGCCTTCTGTTTCTTGAGGAGGAGAACTGAATGGAAAAAAAACTCACCAAATCAGTGAGAATTCGCTTGACCCAGTACACATTAATTACCTTTTTCTTGGTTGCCTTCTGTTTCTTGACGAGGCGATCCAAATGCTTCGTCTCCTCATTTGCAACGCCCATACAAACTGTCTCACCAGTAGATGGATCTCTGTTGAGTGAAGACACAAAACTCTTTAAAGCCCCACTGCACTACTTATAGCTACTTGACAATTGTGCCCTCTATATATAGCAAACAATGCCTAAGCGGTGACCATTGGTCCCCATGATCCCCTTTTTCTTATATTAATTGAGAGCTGATTTGATGAGATAACCACCTGTCAGTGACCATGCAGAAAGGTCTAATCCCTCCTGGTCAAACTAGTGCAGATAGGCTTTAAAAAACAAAACCCTTTTTAGTACAGGGTGGTCCACAAACGAAAATTCAAACATGTAACATTTGGTCCTGGAAGGAGTACTGCATGAACTAATATGTGAAATACAAAGTCTTTTGTTGCTGGGCTTGCATTGATGACGATGGGACTGACATGAGGATCATCATGATGATAATGAAGTTGACAGAAATACTTTATAACATGGTTATGGTTGTTCAACTTACCTCCTTATTTGGCAGACTGTAGGCATGGTCTGCAGATAGGCCTCCACATTCTTGAAACCCTTTTCCCTGTATGGGATCTCTTGACCCAGGAGATCTTTGAACTCATCTGAATGGAGAGAAAGAGGGAGAGAGAGAGAGACTGTTATCTTAGTTTACGGTGGCTAACTTAACACACGCGCGCGCACGCACCCCACCGTGGTATGCAATTGTAGAATTCCAGACACCTCGACGCAATACCCTGGGTGGCTTGCCGTCCGAAAAGGCACCCCACCCTGGACAACTCGACCGTGGCCAGTTGTCCAGGGTATTGTGGCGAGATGTCCAGGGTATTGTGTCGAGTTGTTACTTACTTGGGTATACTTGGGTGTAGCACGTGAAAAAGTTGTAAATCCTCACAGACATCAAACATAAATACTCATATATGGGACTGATGTGACAATCCAGGCTTCAAAAAGCCATGCTCAGAACAGTAAAGTATCCTCAAAAATCACTGCAATCCTCCTCAGAACAGCCTCAAAAATGTATCCAAAGCAATAAATAGATCTTCCTTGGTTTCAAAAAAGACTTTTTGATGAAATAGCTCAATCCTATCACCAGCAAAAAACAGAAAATTTAAGAGCAAAGTTTCACTACATAACACCATTAACCAATACAAGTTCAGTTTTGGGGCGAGTTGTCTTTGTGGCGAGTTGATAAGAAAATAAGATAAAATTGACACAAAAGAGGTAAGAAACATAACAACTTTTAAATCATGACCAGGCATTATTTGAACAATTCGTGATGATTTAGTCGATTTTCGATATGTTTAAGTATTAGATCTAGACTAGGTAGGATATCTCCACGCCGGAGTTACAGATCAAAGTCTGGATACACTTCTGAACTAGCGCCCAGCTTTTAATACACAGCCAGGATAGTAATGCAGCTAAGCCTATGTGTGTGTAGATTCTAGACCAGGTCTTTTCAACTGGCGGCGTGCGCGCCACTTGTGGGACTTGCGGTCAGTCAGAGTAGCACGCGACTGTTGCAACAACAAAACAAAAAACAGAAAGAAAGAAAGAAAGAAAATACATATTTTAGAATTAAATACTCAGCTAAATCAAGAAGTTGCTGCAAATTTGATTCCAAAATGCCTGCTTAACAAACAGGAAGAAAGGGGAATTTATCGTTTTTTACCATTTTATACGAATCTAAACCGAAGGCCTCAACAACAATTAGCTTACGAAGGGATACCAATTTTAACATGGCCAATCTCTGGAAACATCTTGTTTTTGTTTGTTTGATTTTACTTTATTTTGACATTTCCCATGTTTATTGCACACAAAAAACTACATATAAATATACCTCCAGTGTACCAAGGAATTGTACTAATTTATTCACATCAATATGAAATTATGATTGATTATATTGTGGAATGGAATGGTGTTAAAATTTTTAAAAGGCCCTAGATCTAAATCCACCAGCTTCAGGGGGATCCGCCCCCCCCCCCCCCCTCCCACTAGGGCTTCACCCCTGGACCCCACCCATGTTCGGCTCGGTCGCTAGGCTCCCTCGCAGCACAGTCAACCATACAGGGTGGCACTTCAACTACAAATTTTTTACGCTTTGGCACTTCTAATAAACTAGTTGAGATGGCCTGTTCTAGACCTTATTTAGGATTTGTTTACATTACAAAACCATGCATCAGACATCATGAATGTCATGGATCTGAGATGAGTATGGGTGTCAAACTGTCAATCAATGCGACATTGTAGGTGATATCTAAATCTAATCTATATCATATTTCATATTATCACCTGGCCCTGAAGGTCATCATATCATGATGAAGTCTAAGTATGCAGGTAATGAAAAAAAAAACAGGTGGGTGGTCATGGTGGTTAAACAGCTCAGCTCAGCTCAGCTCAGCGCGCAGCGCGATCGCGAAGAGCACGCTGCACTGCACTGCTCTGCTCTGCGCTGCATCTATAACATGTCATGTGCGCCTCGGCCCCAACGCAGCCCGGCCCGGCCCAGCTAGCGGCACAGAGCAGGCCTGCGCATTGACCGAAGTACCACCGGGCACCAACACTGACACCGACAGCTCTACCAAATAAGACAATATTTGTTGAACATCGGATTGATACAAGCGTGTGTTTTTTTAACTTACAGTTGAGTTTCTGTAGAGGTACTCCACCTTTGCTGGATATAAGGACTGATCTAAGAACTTTCTCGATAAAGTCGGCCATGTTGGAATAACTATGTTTATGTTCCTTGGCCTTATATGTACGATATGTGCGTGCGCGCGCGCGTACGTACGTACGTGGGGGCTGGGGTTGAGGGGGGGATTGGGGGGGGGGGGGGGTGATGCCGCTCTCTAATGGGTCACAGAACCCCCTTCCTGAGTAGGATGCATTTGCAACCCCATTAGACGCATTTTTAAGGCACTTCCTGGAGTAATAATATGACGTAAAATTGCTTTCTCCTAGTTACCCCACTGGCAGGCGTAGCCAGGATTTTTCAATAGGGGGGGGGGGGGGGGGGGGGCAGGCGTGAAGGATCGACTAAACAGGAAAAAAATCTGCATCACCACCAATCTTACATGCGGGTCCATTAGGCGGAGCCCCCAGAAGCTCAGGGGTTTTAGGTATTAAATTTTTTTCCGCCTTTTCTCTTCTCTCTCTTCCCCTTTCTTCCTTTCCTCCTCCTTTTTCTCCTCTCCCCTTTTCTCTCCACCCTCTTTTCTCCTTCTTTCTCTCTTCCCTTTTCTTTCTTTTTCCCCTCCTTTTTCTTTTCCCCTCCCTTTTCTCCTGTTCTCCCTTTTTCTTTTCCCCCTTCCCCTTCCCCATTTTTTTTTTACCGGAGGGGGGGGGGGGGGCACGTGCCCCCTGTGTCCCCTGAATCCGCCACTGTTTACCCACCGGCGTACTTTTTGTGAGGAGCGACATGTGTCAAGGAGTGAGAAAGAGGTAGAGTGTAATTATTGTTGATTTTTGAAGACTTCCATCCAACACAGCTTATTAGCTGATTATAGACGTAATTATTATAACTAAAATCTCCTTATATCGAGAAAAATAAGGGGGGTCAGGTCCCGGGGAAATGAAAAATGGCCCTTATCAGAACAGATAAGGAAAATGGTTTACTATTTAATTAAAATGGAGAAAAAAAATGTCAGAAACCAAGAGGGCACATAAATTATGTGATACTTGAAAAGTCTTGCAGTTCTCTGTTAGGGATGGCAGGGCCCTGTCGGGTAGGGCTTAGGGTTCAGTATAGTCAAATGGACATAAGGTCAGACAAGATCGAGCCGTTATATTCAGGGGGTGGGGGAGTAATCGCAGTAAATAGCTTTTTCCTTACTTTCTAGTTCAGGTCAATGTGATATGTTGATGGTTCTAGTAATGTGTGTAAGAAGTTAAGAACGTCACGGAAAATACATATAGGCCTCCTATCAGAATATGATACAGGCCTACCCCCTTAACGGGATTCCTTCCGTAAGCATCAAATTCTCACCAAATAACAAAGTGACCGATGAAAACTGTGGATTGGAGTGTGCTGCTCTATGCCTATGGATCAGAGGCATGGACTCCAAAAACAGGTGACATTTAAAAAAAAAACGGTTGGAGAGTTCTGAAATGTGGATGTGGAGAAAGATGAAAAAGATAAGTTGGGTGGATATAATAGAGTGACAATTTTTTTTTTTTTCAGATAGACGGTAGGGCCGCGAGGAATATGGCAATCTTATCAATCATGGACTCCTGAGAGATATCATCGAGGGAAGGATGGAAGGAAATAGACCGAGGTGAAAGAAAATAATTATGATGTTTTAATACATGGTATCAGAGCAAATGATCGATAAATACCAAAAGATGAAGGACAGACCTCAAGATCAGAGTAGAAAGGTGTGTTTAAGTGCTTAAAACCTGCTAAACAGCAGTCGAGCACAATAATAGAGAGAGAGAGAGAGAGAGAAAGAGAGAGACCTTTATTGCCTTTATTACAGGAAATTGCGTATACCATTTACCTTGTAGCCTATAATCTAGGCGGAGTGCCGAGCTTTTTTCTTTGCTGCTAGACTAACCTTAAGCAGAACGTCTGATACAAATGGCAATTTATTTTCCCTCTCTGGTTTTACAAGGGAAATATTACATCAAGTTATCGACTTTTTTTTACCACAATCAAGGTCTACTTTTAATAGAGTTTAACCGCATTGAGGACACAGGCCTATATAATATAAAGTGCAATAAAATGTCATTTGTGAAATAATAATAATAAAATATTGTAAAAGTTTGATATAGGAGCTTTCACTTGTTAATGTTTATGAATGCTATAGTGTATGCAAGACCTGGGCCTCATTTCACAAAGCCTTTTTCAATGACAAATGCAACAAATCAGTGACAAATCTGCTGATAATCAATCAGACGCAAGGATTTCACTATAGCTTATAACAAAAACTGTCATTTGTCACTGATGACAAGTTTTGTAAAATTGGGCAGTAGCGTAATGGAACGAACGTGTTTGACGGGTTGACCCAGGATGAATTAAAACATTTCTTAAAAGCTCGTAATCAGGCTCTTGTCTATAGGCGGATTTTAGTTGGGGAAGGGGGGGGGTTCAGGCATTATGAGGTAAATTGAGGTTGACCCTTTCGAGGGGAAGGTCTGGGAGAGGGTGTCCCCTATAGGGTGACGGAGTGTCTTCAAAAGTGTGTGTGTGTGTGTGGGGGGGGGGGGGGGGGCAACAACAAAAAGGGAGACCTACACAAAGGGAAACATCAAAGCGAAAATATACTTTTATATGTACATTAGTATATACCCCTACATTGTGATTATTGGGGGTGATAATTTAATATTTGTTTCTCTCTTTATGTGGTCCAAGATACTGATTAAGCATTAAACTTTGATGCTGGGATACGATTTGTGGAGTCGCAGGGCGAAAATTTACACACAAAAAAAACTAATCCTAATTGGAAGTTAAACATAACATAATCATGAAAGTAACATAATTTTATCAACTATAAATGCAAGCGAGCGAACTTTGAGGGGGGATTAAAGGGGAAACTCGCTATTAGTTGCTTTCAACTGAAATTAGGGGCACATGTTATCGAAAAGGGAAAAGAGTCTTATTAGATTTACGTTTGCTATTATATTTTCATATTGACGTTTTCCGTTCGTCCAACCGTCTTTCATACCTTTTCTCATTCATAACTCTCTCTTTCTCGTCCCCGTCTTCTTCTTTTTCCTTTTCTCTCTCCCTCTCTCCCTTTTATCACTTCTATCTGGTCATACTCACTCTCGTCCACGTCTTGTTTTCTTTCTCTCTCTTTTTTTTCCTCACTCCCATCGGGTCATACTCTCTCCCTCTCGTCTACGTCTTTTTTTCCTTCTCTCTCTCTCTCTCCCTTTTATCACTCCTATCTGGTCATATTCACTCTCTCTTTCTCGTCCCCGTCTTCTTCTTTTTCCTTTTCTCTCTCCCTCTCTCCCTTTTATCACTTCTATCTGGTCATACTCTCGTCCACGTCTTTTTTTCTTTCTTTCTCTTTTTTTCCTCACTCCCATCGGGTCATACTCTCTCCCTCTCGTCTACGTCTTTTTTTCCTTCTCTCTCTCTCTCTCCCTTTTATCACTCCTATCTGGTTATATTAACTCTCTCTTTCTCGTCCCCGTCTTCTTCTTTTTCCTTTTCTCTCTCCGTCTCTCCCTTTTATCACTTCTATCTGGTCATACTCACTCTCGTCTACGTCTTTTTTTCCTTCTTCTCTCTTTCCTTTTTCTCACTCCCATCTGGTCATACTCTCTCTCTCTCTCGTCCACGTCTTTTTGTTTTCTTTCTCTCTCTCCCTGTTCTCATTCCGATCTGGTCATACTCACTCCCCTTCTCCCGTACACGTTTTTTTTTTTCTCCCTCTCTCTGTGTAACCCGCAGTACATGTATAAATCTGGCCTCCGAACTCCTTCTCTTGCTAGTTTGTAATTACCGACCGAGGCTATTATAGTTGTTCTTTCACCCTTTGAGCTTCTTATGTAATCTCCATTCTCCCCACATTTCCTCTGCAGCACTCAGTTCTCTAAATTACACATCTCTCTTTTCTTCAAAGTACCGCAATAAATCTACTTAATATTTCCTCAGTATATACCATCCCAAATAAATCATAAGAGAAAATAAGCAACCCATACTGAATGTACATTGTAGCATTATTTAAATTTAATCATAGGTGAGTCTCGAACACATTAGTAATGTGGAGTTGGCGCATTACAAATATTATTATTATTATCTTCATTCCAAATTTGACAATTTGATAAAAGTTAGAAACAGACTGAAGAATTTACAATACAGGGCAGTAACAAATGGAGAAAAATTCTATCATGGCAGCACAGCTAAAGCTGGGGTAATAATCTCCAAGTTTGGAAGCGCTTAGTGATTCTAATAAGCGCTATATAAAAACTGAGTATTAGTATTATAATTACTGTCGGCCTTAATTAATTACTGTTTTTTAAGTAGTCCTATTAATGCCAATAAGTCTCATATTTCAGAAAAAATAAAGTTTAAATTAACTTAATAAATTATACATGTACAACTATCTTACAACAAAAATATAAAACATCGGGTCGAAAGTATATACAAAGTCATGTCTGCTTGGAGCATGTTGGCAGATGCGCTGAGTGACTTCATCAGCTGTATGCTCAATCTGTAGAAGAGAAACAGACACGGAGAGAAAAACAAAATGCTTGAAAATATTTGTACGAAAAAATATGAAAACACAGAAATAGTCAATGAATTTGTTCCGGTTGTTGAAAAAAATATACAAAAGTCATGAAAGACAGGAAGGTCTATACATATTGTCATAACTTGCAAAGATTTTCTAATTGGCCTTTTTTATATATCACAATGCAGTAATGTCAATCTTATTTTTTGTGTATTACTTTATTGACATTTTAATGAACATTAGATCAATATTCAAATTGATTCATTGACAATTGTTTCATTTCATTTCATATGAGAGCCGCTCCGGATATTGTACATATTCTTTTAGTTTACATATATCACTAGCATAATTCTTTTTAATTGAAAGTACTACGCACCAGTTGCTGTCCTAATGAAATTCATGCAGGAGAGGAGTTTTTTAAACTAGACACAATTCCATAACAGAAGTAGCAAAGCTAGACTTTGACCATCTCTGGCAATAACAGGTGAAACATAGCCCTCATAAATAACACATTAAAACTTTGCCTCTAGCTAAATATATGTCAGACAGAAGGAGCTAAAACAGAAGTTCTATTGATGCAGTGCACATTTACAGTCTTACACTTCAAACCCTGTAATATCTATTATGACTGGCAAACGTTTTTTTATAGCCAAGAACATTAATAAAAACTCACCTGCCATCCCTATAGCAAAGGGCCCAGCTCATCTAGCATGGACAGTTCCCCTCAGTACATGAGCAGCCGCTTCCACACTTGCAGCCATCAGCACACGTCTTGCATGCCGCATCTGTGGACAAATAAAATAAACCAAGTAATAACATCAAATCAAAATGTCTCTACTCTATTGTTGGTATAACTGCATTTCTCTTTCATGTAGACTACACAGCAGGATATATAATGGGCACAATTGGTCTGTGCCCCTCATTTAGGCATACATGGAAAATGCAACCCCCCCCCCCCCCCCAAAAAAAAAAAAAAAAAAAATAGATATATATATATATATATATATGTATATATATATATATATATATATGTGCAGGCACACATTTGTGCCCAATTCACTTGGCAGACCCAAAATTCACCAGGAAAATGAGATAAACATGTTTTAAACTATTTTCAACATCCTTTTCCTTAAGCTTGTCAGTGATTTTTAAAATAATTTAATAGGTGACAACAATAAAACCTAGGAGATGTGAAATTCATATCTCCCTGACAAATCATATAGACCTGTATCTTGGCTGTCAATATTTTTGTCAGATCCCCCCCCCCCCCCAAAAAAAAAAAACAAACAAACAAACATGGATACCAGTACACCAGAATATTGATATTGAGCACAAATAATCATTGCCATTTTGTCTGACATTTAAGCCTGCACCCATTTAAAGGTGAGAGTATAAAGAAATTTAAAAAACGCATGAGCAATTGGAACAATTTTTTTCTATAAATATATAAATACTTTTAAAAGCCTTGTGTAAAGAGTTTAGTATACAAATCCTTAATTACTAGGAGGCACTTTAATTTTTAGGGTTCACTGAAAATGATGAAAGACTCACTTGAGCATTTTCCAGTGCAGCAGGTTCCACCCTTGCAGCATTCGCCAGTTGTACAGCAATCCTGTCCCTTGCAGGCACACTCATTTCCCTCTGTGTTCAGAATTTAAAAAAGGAGACAATATAATAATATAAAATATAAATTATAATAAAAGTAACAACAATTTTGAAACCACATATCCATCACAAATGCATCAGTGCTTGTTGGTATAAACTGTTATTGACAAAACTGTAGATGTAACATAAATGAAGCAACAGGCAAGAAAACATGACATAATTCATTTGTCACATACATTTGGAACACCGTTGAATGCAAAATTTCCATGTACACATCTACACATTCGACACTCATTTTGGGGTCTGCAACTCAGACTAAATAAATGTAGATTGTACGTAGTACTTACGTCTCATTAGCATAATATATATTTTCATGAAGAGTATCTAAGAATGTATATACCCTCATCCACTTCTACCTAAATATTTGCCTCGATGAATAGATATTACGTAATTCTGTGTAATAATCATATGATTGAAAGAACGGACCCTATTTCACACCGCACTGGCTACGTTGCAGACAGGCTGCATTAGGGACCTTTAGATTTGTGTGGACTGATACGTGTGACGTCCATTCAAGGCAGTGCATTAAAAGGACGTCGATCGTAGCAATCCCCATTGTCTTCGTGCGAATCTAAAAGTCCCATGGCCGTATCGTATGCACGTAAATAAAATCGAGCGGTTCGTTTCTAGAATATTAGAAACGCACCGTACACTGTATACGGTAACTGGGTATTTTAAATTTAATGAGAAAATCAAAACATTGATTTCGACTGTTTTCTTACCCTTGCAGCAGACACACTTGACATCAGGCATGGTGATAAAATTGAACTCGAGTTGTACGTTTCAAAAGGTAATGTAAATCAGACTTAGCTTCACTCTTAAAGTCTCACCCTTCCTGTATCAACTTATGACAAAAACTGGTGAAATTGGTGAAATTCGGGGTTTTATGTGTTTTCACTCCAAGATCCGTGTGCAAACAAATAGGTAAACACACCACGTATAGGCACGAGCTAGACAACCTGTTCGCGGTGTGCAGGAGGCGATTTAGGTAGGCGTTTCTAGTTTTGCACACGCTTCTATCCAGGAATGGTGATGACAGGCTGATCGTGTCGGATAAATAAGGGATATGGAAGGGAAGCAAAAATCGGTTTTTAAAAAAAGCGTCGGGGGATGCCCTCCCCTCCCCCAAACGTTTGCCCTCAAAGAACAAAGTGTTGCTCATGTGCTAAAACATTATGAAAGTGAATGATAAAGGTAACACTGTCAACATTGTGTCAAGGTCTGGTAAAACGTAAGGTTTCCATAAAGTATTTCAAAATCATGTAGCACCATGATTATTATATAATTTATATAGGCATGTAATTGATTTGCAAATAATTATTACTATGATTAAGAAATGAAAAAGAAGAAGAAGCAGGAGAAGAAGAAAAAATGGGAGGGGGAATAAAAGTAGAGGATTCCCGACCTGGATATCTCCGCCAGAAAATGCAACTATCCCTCCATTTCGAAATATTCATGGTGTTCACTGCATAATGATGATCAACCTGTATAATAAAATGGTTATTTTTTTATACTAAATTACGTATACCTGTAAATATTTGCCCAGGGCGTTACCTAGAGACACTTACCCCCAGTCAAATTGTCATAGGAAATCTCTCCCCCCCCCCCCCCCCGGCCCCTCGATCTCCGAGTCCCGGATCTGCCCCTAATGATTGACCCCGTTTTAAGGGCATATTAAAGGAAAATGTTAAGATGTTTACCATTGAAATACACAAGCTTTTAAAGAAGAATGTAATAGATATCGAGGCAGTCTGGATGGCAGTTGGTATACTGGAAAATTTCCTTCCAGTTTCATTCTCCTTTCATATGGCACTGACATACACGTTCTCAAGGCTTATACGCTCCTAATCCTATCTGATGAATTAAAACATAACCAACAACCACTTACAACAACAAATCAACCCCGGGCAACAACAAAAACCACACCGATAACTATTTACGATATGACCCCCCCCCCCCCCCTCCATGTACAGACACAACACACCATTCAAAGTTCGCGTGTCACTATAATATACGCTCCTCCCCTAATACCAGAGAAGAAGGTTCGATATCACTGAAGATATCTCTTAAAAATAGAATCAAAACGCCTGACGTGGAGACGAGAGGATAAACTGCATGGTTATACTTTTTACTCGTTGTTTCACACGAAATGCAAAAAATTGAGCATGGACGTATTAAGAATATTGTTATAATTATATTTTTTTCTCAAATTTCGCCTTCCCTACCCCAAGGGGAAAAGGGGAGAGGGGGAGGGATACAACTATGATTATGATCTCTTTTCTGTCATACTTTGAGATAAAGATTTAAACACCTTAGAGACTAGAGGGGGTTGGGTTTGCACTCGAGTAGCGCTTGCATGCTCGCCCTCATTATTGCACACGAATAATAGTTTGAATATTCAATGTTATTTAAATACGTGACACGTACAGTATTAAGTGCGGGCAGTTTTTCTGAGTTTGGCTGGCTTGAATCATGTGACCGGCCTTGTGTGGCTTCTAGATGGATAAATAATGTTGAACTGCTCTTGTTTTCTAAAATTCGCTGAATAACCATACCAAAATAAACTATTTATAATGCCTGTATGTTATGGATCACCATTTGCAAAAAGGCTTCGGACTGTACGAAAGACACCTAAATATTCTAATGCAATTCCATTTTATGCAGGTAGGAATAATAAGTTATTCGCAAAGAGGGTAGTCATGTTTAATCTTTCGAAATTTAATGGAAGTCTCGATCATTTCCCTCTATTAGTATTTTGAACCTGGAGTAGGCCTGGAGTATATGGCCCCTCCCGGTTATGCCAACCCTGTGAAGAAATACAGAAGCCTTCTGAGGAATTACATTAAATATAGTGTATTTGATTTGATTTGATTTATTTATATACCAACAGCAACAGCAATACATTTCATACAGTAATTTACATATACATCTAAAAGAAGAGAAACTATTGGTTGGTAAAAGGGGCCAGATAATAGCACATGTGCTAGTCGAGCCTATCCCCTTAAACAGCTAAACAAAGTATTTTGGTACAAATCAGTTTAGAGAACGTAACAAAAAAAAAATAATAATGAATTTACTTTTACAATCGATACTTAAAAAAACCAAACAAGAATCAATACTCAACAATGTCTTACAATAATCAAACTAATAATGTAACATATGAATTATGAATTGTGTACACTTGACATTTCATTCATGACTTGTTCAACAAATGACTTGTAACAGAATTCCGAAACCTGTTTCTAGACCTTGTCAATCTGACATCAACAGGTAATCTATTCCAAAATTCACAGCCCACAAAAGACAATGAAAATTGACCTTGTGTCGTTCTTAATTTTGGAAGACGTGATTGTCCACCTTCTTTTTGTCTTGTGGAATAACTATGTTCTATAATGTCACAGTACTCTATCAAAATATGATGCAAATAACGGTCATTGACTAGATCAAACATGAAAGTAGAAATGGATAAATCATGTGATTTATACACATTTAGGATTCGCAATCTTTTAAATAATGGATCTGAAGGAGTTCTCCATTCACTAAATGTTATAGCACGAACTGCCATTTTCTGTGAATATAATATACTTCTTAGGCTAGTCTTGTAAGTGCTCCCCACACCTCTATTCCGTAAGAACAGTGAGTACTATTCATGGAATATCAGTATTACTGAAAAGTGTCTGGACGTTACCATTCACAGTATGTATCAAATATGAATAATATTATTGTATGTTTGGAAATTATCAGGATTTATTGAATTGCTGAAATTGCTAATCATAATCAGAGGTGGCACTCCCGAGGGGCACGGTGCAACCGCCAAATTTGTTCAGGTAGCCTCAAAATGACACTATTTACATAGGAAATGTGCCCCCATTTTACTTTGACAATTGCCCCTCTTCCTTTGTAAGAACATGGATCTCTACTTTTATCTCCATGGTAAGAAGTGCCCCTTTCCAATAAGTGCCTCTTCGATTTTGACATGTGCCCCATTTCCATTTTATTAATCGCCCATGTTCCATGTGATAAGTAGGCCTACCCCCCCCCCCAATTTTTGTAAATAAAAGCCCCTTATCTTTCTCATAAATGTCCCTTTTCAGGCTGATAAATTCCCCTATTCACATCTGATAAGTAGGCCAACCCATTTTCTTTTGACAATTGCTCCTTTTCATTTGCAATACGTTTCCTTTTTCCATTATCATTAATGCCCCTTTTCATCTCTGATAAGTGCCCCTTACTACCTCTGAAAAATGCCCCTTCACCTCTGATAATTGCCCCAATTCACATCTGAGAGGTGTGACACGTTTTACTTTTACTTTGTAAAAATATTAGCAGCTGCATGAAATCACATAGAATACATCCGATTTAAAATTTCTCCCAAAATGTGCATTGTTTTCCCCAAATCGACCTTCCAGTAGGCCCTTCAAAAAAAGAAGCCCCTCCCCGACTCGCCTTTATTGTTGATATAATTATGTTAGTTATTTGTTAACGTTTTGTTATAGTTTGTCATTAATATTAGATTGTGCTTAAACTCATCAGGATTTGTTTTAACCTGTATAACCTAAACTACATAAAGTACATGCGACCTTAAAGATCTATAAATGTTTATTAGATGGGCTGTATCTAATACAGACCACCTTATATTTTTGTTAAAATCGCCTTTATTTATTATTTATTTATTTATTTATTTTTCTTATTTCGAACCACTTTTTTTGTGAGCAAGATAACTTTTAAATGGTTCAATCAAATGCTTTAAAATTTATCACACATATGTATAGGCATATAGAGAAATCAAAATAACGTTTTCAACCTTGACCTTGACTGATGACGTCATCTAACCGCCATTTTGTAAAAATCAACTCATGATCATATCTTTATAACCAAAAGTCATTTCTAATTTATATTTATCATGTTCAAGGTCATTATCAGTCCGGTCAATTTCAGGTCAAAAAACGCGCGCTTGCGCGTACGTCCGCGCGTCATTGCGCGCGCAAAATTTTTAAATGCTCAAAATCGTCTCAAATTTATTTTGCATACGTTTCAGGTCATTTTAAGCATTTTATAAAAATTCGCGCGTACGAGCATGCGCGCGCGTTTTCGCGCGTAACACCATTAACAAACATAGAATCGCCATTTTTTTTTCTTTCATGATATTTCTCATATTTTTTCAAGGAATTTGATACCATGTTTATCTCTTTATGACCATTATTGTCAAGATGAGCGTAAATTCAAGATAAATGTCAGTGCGCGCGAGCTCTTTTAATACATAGCATATATGGGCAAAAACATGCCTATACAAAATCCGTTATAGCTCTTTGGAATGCACCGGAATCCTCAATTTTTTTTCATATTTAGATAGAGTATGAGTCGGAAACACGATTCCATGTCTCATTTGGCCATTAAGTGTATCGTGACATCATCACAATGGCCTTGGAACTCAAAATACGAATTTGCATATTATGACGTCAGCATATTTATGTAAAATTTATTGTATCTCTGTAAATATTGATCAATTTTCTTCAAAATTTCGATATGTTGTAGCTAAGACAATTCTCTACAAGCGCAGTAATAACCATTTTTCATTTTGATGACGTCATCATAGTGAAAATTTTGGTTAAAGGCCTCATGTCAAAAACTTCATAATTTGCGTGTTATGCCTATAGAAGGTGAATTTAGTTCACGTTATGAATCTACATGATATTGTCTTTTAAGAATTTGTAAGCAGTATGTCGCTTATTTTTGCTCTATTTTGTCTCAAATTTTAGTTGACCAGCCCACCTATACTTGTTCCAAACAAGTATTAGGCCTATATGTCTAGTTTAATATTTAGATCATCAGACCTAACTCCGAAAATGATATCATCCCTGATAATGT